GTGAGCACCTGCTGCATGCCAGTCCTCCGGCCAAGACCTTTTTGTATTTTACCTCGTTCAATCTCCATGCACCTTAGGAGGGTGTACCTTTTACAAGTTAGGAAACTGAGGCTGAGAACGATTACACGTCTTGCCACACAGCTAAGTGTAAGGACCAAAATGTCGTCCTAGGCAACCCCATTTCTGAGCTTTCTCCGCATCTTGAGAGAGGAACAGGCCATGATACCCTGGTGGTGATACCGCTCATGCCCTGTTCCGGCTCTCCCCTGCGATGAGGGCTCAGTCTCCATTAGGAGAGAACGTGTACAGCGTTCACTGAATCCCTTTGCCCCACGTTGAGAGCAAGCCGTAGCCTTACAGCCTTTGCAGTGGTAGCACAGGGTGGCTGAGACCCACTAGTGAGGCCTTTTACAGCAAGAGAGAGGATGTCCACTTTGGCAGTGATACACAGTGTCCTTTTATTGATTTTTTCAGTTTGTATGTATTTATTTGAGGCAGAGTCTTGCTCTGCTGCCCAGGCTGGAGCGCAGTTTCCTTTCAAAGTGATTGTATTTAAGCCAACAAATGACACAACATAAAGAAAGGTGTATACAGCATAAAGAAAGAGCACTGGCACAGGGGGGACTCAGGGAGTACAGACTCTCCCAGCTCTGCGGCCTTTTCTCCGTTGAGGGATGTCGAGTCACGTGGTGGTGGTAGCGGAGGCCTGTCTAGGGCTCTGCTGACTGCTAATCCCTCTTTTCAGGTACGAGAGGTTCTTTGGGCGCCTGTCCCACCTGAACCTGTGCGTTACCAATGCCATGCGGGAAGACCTGGCGGAGAACTGGCGCATCAGGTACCAAGGCCTGGGACTACGGCGGCCTGGGAGGGGCACAGGGCCCCTGATTGGCTGCAGTGAGAGCTGCCTTGCCTGCTGTGGCCGTGCTGGCGAGGCAGTTTGAAATACTGAGGGCCTGGGAGGTGGTCCCTGGTTTGGGGAAGCCAGAGAAGGAAGGGGCAGAGTTTCTTTCCCAGCCAGCCAGGGGGTCCAGGCAGTTTTGGTCCTAGGACGTCTCTGTGCATTCCCAAGTAATTGCAAGGCTTCTTGTCATCGTCTGAGACTTGGATTCCCCAAGCATCTTTCTTTTCCTGGAGCATCTGAGTCCTCTATTCCTGAGGCCTTTCTTTAGCCCTCCCAGTAGCCCCGCCATGATTTCATTGCAGGGCTGTGACTGTCTACGACAAGCCGGCATCTTTCTTTAAAGAGACACCTCTGGATCTGCAGCACCGGCTCTTCATGAAGCTGGGCCGCACGCACTCTCCGTTCAGGGCCCGGTAGGTCTCCCATCCTCAGCTGCCTTCTCTCCTGCTTGCCACTGCCCTGGGCTCTCCCCTTCTCCCTGAAGACCTGGGAACCCACTCATCCACGGGTTGGCAAACTAAGGCCACAGGCCAGTCTCCTGCTTTTGTAAATCAAGTTTCACTGGGACACAGCACACTCATTCCCTTCTGAGTTGTCTGCAGCCGCCTTTGAACTACAACAGCAGAACACAGAACCTGTGGCCCACAAAGCCTGAAGTATTTACTCTGTGGCCCTTTAAGAAATGTTTGTGGACCCCTGCGCTGTCTTACTCTCCTGTCAGTGGGTTCCCAGGCCTGTGGCAGGATCTGTGGACCTGTGTGTCCCCTGGGGTGTCTCATGGGGCTGAGAAGGGAATCTTTGTGCAGGTCCACACACCCTGAGGTGTGCCCTGGGTAAGCTGGGGTGGTGTGGGAGGGCACCCCAGCACCCTCATCTTGAGTCCAGGGGATGATAAGACAGTAAGTTCCATGAGGAAAGGAATGAGTCAGTCTTGTTTGCTGTTGTAACCTTAGCACCCAGCAACAATATTAGAGAAAGCAAGCCCGGGCCTCAGATGGCAGGGGTGGCCTGGTACTGCTGATGCGGCCGGGCACCCCAACCTTTCGGAGCCTGCAGGCCTCACCACAGCAGAGGTGCCCGTCGTGGGTCCTGGGCCTGCTCTGTGGCCTCTCACAGGCTTTTTTCCTGCTCCTTCAGCTCAGAACCTGAGGACCCAGCCACGGAGCGGTCGGCCTTCACAGAGCGGTACGCTGGGAGCGGGCTGGTGACGCGTCTCCGCGAGCGGCCGGCCCTGCTGGTCAGCAGCACGAGCTGGACAGGTCTGCACGACCCCTGGGGCACTTGGGGTTGGTGTGACGGGCACCTGGCCAACCTGTGTTCTCCTCACCCCTGCCAGTCCTGCATGCCCCCACCGCACCGCGGTCTCAGTGAGAAGGGGAGGGCATATGAGCTGGAAGAGGGGTGTCTAGAAACAGGCCCCTGACATTCAGTTCTCTTCTTGTAGAGGACGAAGACTTCTCCATCCTGCTGGCAGCTTTAGAAAGTAGGTGTGTGGCTGCGGTGAGGAGCTCTGGGTTTGTTGGGGGCCCCTGAGCTGTGAGCTGCGGCCTTGCCTGCAGCACGTTCCTGTCCTGGTCCACTGGGTGGGGCAGCCTGGGGACAGCAGGGGTGGTGGAGGTGGGCTGCTATGAATCCCCACTGGGTCACTGAGTGACCAGGCTCTCAGGCTGAAATGCCCCCTCCAGGAGAGTGTCTCACAGAGCCTGGTGGCCTCCCCGCCAGAGCAGTGCCCTTTCTCCGCCTGACCAGGTGACTCTGGCTATTGTTTCTTTAAACATTTTTTTTCTGAATGGGCGTGGTGGCTCACACCTGTAATCCTAGAACTCTGGGAGGCCGAGGCAGGCAGATCACCTGAGGTCAGGAGTTCGAGACCAACCTGGCCAACATGGCGAAACCCTGTCTCTACCAAAAATACAAAAATTAGCCAGGTATGGTGGCGGGCGCCTGTCATCCCAGCTACTCGGGAGGCTGAGGCAGGAGAATTACTTGAACGCGGGAGGCAGAGGTTGCAGTGAGCTGAGATCGTGCCACCGCATTCCAACCTGGGTGACAGAGCGAGACTCTGTCAGAAAAAAAAAGAAAAAAATTCTATCACAAATTCCATGTAGACTTGTTTCTTTTTTTAAACACAGAGTTTGAACAACTGATTCTTGATGGACACAACCTTCCTTCTCTCGTCTGTGTGATAACAGGTACCGCCTGGGACCCTGGGTGTCTGTTTGGCTGGGGGATGGCGGACGGGGAGGGGCACGCAGCCTTTATCCTGCGCTTCCCATGATCTTATCTCCTTAATCCTCACTGCAGCTCTCTGCCATAGGGTCTTATACTGCTTGGCATGGGGGAAACTGAGGCTCAGAGGGTTTCACAGCCGGGCAGGGAGCCCAGATTTGAATCTGCAGATAACAGGCTTTTACTTTCTCAGTGGTTTTTAAGCATCTCTTTGTTGTTGTTGTTACATCACTGGTGTCTTTTTTTTTTTTTTTTTTTTTTTTTTTGAGACAGAGTCTCTGTCACCCAGGCTGGAGTGCAATGGCGCAATCTCGGCTCACTGCAACCTCTGCCTCCCATGTTCCAGCAATTCTCTTGCCTCAGCCTCCCAAGTAGCTGGGATTACAGGCACCCTCCACCACACCCAGCTAATTTTTGTATTTTTAGTAGAGATGGGGTTTCACCATGTTGGCCAGGCTGGCCTCGAACTCCTGACGTCAGGTGATCCACCCACCTTGGCCTCCCAAAGTGCTGGAATTACAGGCACGAAGCACTGTGCCTGGCCACGTCATTGGTGCCTTAACCAAGCCTCTTTTAATTTTTCAAACGGAAGAGCCCCTGTCCCACAGTTACTGCTTCTGAGCACTTTTGAGGTGATTCAGTGAAGAAGGAGAAAAGCAGAAGCGCTGTGGGAAGAGGCAGGGTCTGGGCCAGCTACTGGTCCTGCTCTCCTCCCTCCTCTGGCCTCTAGGCTGCCAGGAGTAGCTTGGAACCCACGCCACGTGCTCTGGGGGCTGTGGCAGGGCAGGGGAGCCTTCGTGTCCCCTGTGCACACCACAGAAAAAAGGCTGGGTCCATCTAGTGGGCGGTCAGGTGCCAGGCCAGTGCTTGCCCCGCTGTGTTTGCAGCCCGAGGCAGCTGGCTGCAGGTGCAGGGCTGTGCCTCAGGGGTCAGGGTGCACACCCCTGCAGGGCTTGGGGCTCCTGGGTTGCTTCTGGAAGGACCCGGATGGGGCCTGGCCGGAGCTGCCGAGGGGTGGGGCTTCTGGGAAAGGGATCCCTCCTAGGGGGGCGTCTTGGGCTTGGGGCCATGTGACAGGGACAGAGGCGGGTCCGTGGCAGTGTCTGCTCTTCTCTGTGAAGGCAAAGGGCCTCTGAGGGAGTATTACGGCCGCCTCATCCAGCAGAAGTGTTTCCAGCGCGTCCAGGTCTGCACACCCTGGCTGGAGGCCGAGGACTACCCCCTGCTTCTAGGTGAGAGGCCGGCAGGAGGCTCAGGAGGAGGCGGGGCCTTCAGTGGGGGAAACAGGTGGGTGGAATGGAATTTTCCTGAAAAGGTGGCTCTGGAGGCCACTTGGGGACAGGGCCTGGCCTGCTGCTGAGACCTCTGGCTGAACTTCCTGGAGGAGGCTACTTCCTGGTGTGCTAGCCCCTCCCTGCCAGGTGACCCCAGAGGCTGTTTACTAAGGGGTTTGAGGAGGCCACGTTCTTTCAGCCTGCCACGCCCTCCATTTAGTCCTCTTCCTTCCCGCAGGAGGGCTGGGCCTCGGGTTCGGGCCACTGTTGCCCAGGTGTGGGAGGGCAGTGGCTTTGGGAGGTACAGGGACAATGTGTCAAAAAGCGTCGCCTCTCCCAGTGAGATGGTTCTCCCCTGTCCCCGTCTCTTTCCCGTTGATTTCTCCAAGTGGGGAGTTGGCTTGGTCCTGATGTGTCTCTAGAGCCGCATCTTCCAGCCTTGAGTGAGCAGAGCAGTTGGAGGCTGAGGGCCTTTTCCTGGCAGGACTCTCTAGCTAGTCTTTTTTTTAGACAGTTTTGCTCCGTCGCCTATGCTGGAGTGCACGATCTCAGTTCATGCAACCTCTGCTCCTGGGTTCAAGCGATTCTCCCACCTCAGCCTCCTGAGTAGATTACAGGATTACAGGAACCCGCCACAACACCTGGCTTATTTTTGTATTTTTAGTCGAGACAGGGTTTCACCATGTTGGCCACACTGGTCTCGAACTCCTGACCTCAAGTGATCCTCCTGCCTTGGCCTCCCCAAGTGCTGGGATTCCAGGCGTGACCCATCACGCCTGGCCCTGGCTAGTCTTTAGAAATGTTAAGCTATTTGGCTTTATTTTCATGGTGACAGCTGGTTGGTGGTGGGTGTGCTGTGGTTTATTATTATTATTATTATTTTGAGATGGAGTTTCGCTGTTGTAGCCCAGGCTGGAGTGCAATGGTGAGATCTTGGCTCATCTCTACCTCCGCCTTCCCGGGTTCAAGCGATTCTCCTGCCTCAGCCTCCCGAGTAGCTGGGATTACAGGCACCTGCCACGATGCTCGGCTGATTTTGTATTTTTTTTAGCAGAGATGGGGTTTCACCATGTTGGCCAGGCTGGTCTTGAACTCCTGACCTCAGGTGATCCGCCCGCCTTGGCCTCCCAAAATGCGGGGATTACAGGTGGGAGGTGAACCTGGGAGGTGGAGGTTGCAGTGAGCCAAGATTGTGCCACTGCCCTCCAGCCTGGGTGACAGAGTGAGACTGTCTCAAAACAAAAACAAAACAACAACAAAAAAACCAAATTATGGTTACATAGAAAAAGTGTCAACTTATATTTTCAGATGTCCCAGCCAGGCCGTGTGGCTACTTGGCCAGCTTAAGCCACTTGTGTTTGGGGCTGTCGGGGGCCTTTTCCGATTTTCACTCCCCTTGTGGGGTGTTGCCTCACTGTGCTGGGAGGATCTGTGTTCCCAGGGCAGAGGCCAGCGCTCTCACCGCACCCCTCTTGCCTAGCAGGGTCGGCCGACCTGGGTGTCTGTCTGCACACGTCCTCCAGTGGCCTGGACCTGCCCATGAAGGTGGTGGACATGTTCGGGTGCTGTTTGCCTGTGTGTGCCGTGAACTTCAAGTGGTAGGAGCAGAACCCGAATCTTTCTGGGGATAGCTTCGCAGATCCACCGCTGAGGGGGACGCAGTGCAGAACGAGCTGCCCACAGTGAGGCCCTGCCCCTCGGTCAGTGCAGCACACACTGGAGGCCACTAGGAGGAGCCCTGCGGTTCCTGTGGCTGGGCTTGAGCCTCACTGAAGTCGCTGCTTCCATTTAGAGTTCGTGTTACATTTAGGTTGATGCAAAAGTAATCACGGTTTTTGCCACTAAAAATGGCAATTACTTGAGCACCAACCTAATATGAAAAAAAGCATCTTAAATACTAGAACTCCACTTGGGGCTTTTGCTCCTAGAGTAGAATTGGCGGGAATTGCCTGCAGGCTTACATGGTTTTCTTTGTTTCTCTCCCGCCATGTCCCTTTTGGCCAAGCTCACATGGTGGGTTTGAATCAGCTAAATGAGTGTCATGCTCTGGCCTCACTCCACCCAGCACAGACGGGCGTTTGGAAGGGCGGCGTTAGAAGAGATTCTAGAAGTAGTAGCCCCGGCGCAAGCTGAGTCCTTGGCCCCTGCTCAGGAGCCTGCCCCTGGGTGGGATTCAGGGATATGCGCCCCTCGTGTGAGGCTGAGCTCAGGGAAATGTGGGGATCATACCTGGTGCCCTAGAAAGGTCATCTTTTATGTGCTGAGCCAGTCCCCAGGGGGTTGCCTTTCCTTGTTCCATGGCCATGGAGTTAAGAAAAGCATGCAAAAATAATTCTTCAGTCTGTGAAGAGCATCCAGCACAGAAGGTAGAAACCCTCCTTAAGGCTCCCTCCTTAAATCGGTTTGGCCATTTTGATGTGCAACCCTCCCAGGCCTTTATACCCTTCAGATGCCAGATCTCAGAACTAGCTCCCGGAAACCACACCCCCAGCCTGGCCTGAGTGTGGGGCGGGTGGGAGCCCAGGCGGGCACCCCAGGGTCTGGTGTCTTCTGCAGGCAGCTCTGAGGCTCCCTTGGTTCTCCCTGCAGTTTACATGAGCTGGTGAAGCATGAAGAAAACGGCCTAGTCTTTGAGGACTCAGAGGAACTGGCAGCTCAGCTGCAGGTAGCCACGTCTGCCACATGCCAGGGTGGGGAGGGTTGTGGAGACTGGCACCGAGCCACACTCCCTGATTCCTGCTTCCCACAGCCAGGGTGGGACCATGTGGGGTCTGGCGGAAAAGCTAGGGAGGGAGCAGAGGTCACAGAGGCCGGCCTACTCTGCTGTCCCGTTTCAGTACAGTAGGCTGGGGAAAGTTAGCACACACCCCCACCTGTCCTCTGGAGTTATGGAGCTGACACTCCACACATGATGCTGGAGCCGGTGGGCCGGGCTGCAGTTCAGGAAGTGATCAGGATCAGGTAGGCGGGCAAAGGGAGCTTCTGGGACCCGCCTTGAAAGATGAGTGGAATTCTGCAGAGGTTACTTGTTTTTTGTTGCAAAAAGTAACACATCATTCTTGCCAACAGAATGACTGGCAGGATTTTCAGTAAAGGTCCAGGTCGGAAGTCATTTAGACTGGGTCCCCCAGTCTCTGTCAGAACCATGGGACTCTGCTGTGGTGTGAAAGTAGCCACAGATCATCTGTAGATGAAGGGGTGTGGCTTTGTTCCAATAAAACTTTATTTACAGACAGGCTGTGGGCTGGATTTGGCCTGCAGGCTGTAGTTTGTGATGCTTGATTCAGACAGTTTAGCAAGGCTGAAAAGAACACTGACACCCCCTTGTTACGCACAGATGCGTGGGACTGTGTTGGCCAGAGGCTGAGAGGAGGGTGCTCCAGGGGAAGGCACAGCATGTAGAGGCCGGGAGGTGCTCCAGGGCACCAAGTGTGGGAAAGTGGGATATGTGGGAAGGTTTCCAGAAAGCGTGATGTCAAAGTGGAGGCGGAGCGCTGCTGGGGCGTGAAGGGTCTCGAGTCCAAGTGAGGGAGTTAGGGGCTGGGGAGGGGCTGTTGCTGGGTCAGGGACCTGGGATGGGGTGGGGACAGGCAATGAAGTAAGCTCTGCTCTTTATTTTTTCGCAGATGCTTTTCTCAAACTTTCCTGATCCTGCGGGCAAGCTAAACCAGTTCCGGAAGAACCTGCGGGAGTCGGAGCAGCTCCGATGGGATGAGAGCTGGGTGCAGACTGTGCTCCCTTTGGTTATGGACACATGACTCCTGGGCCAGAGGCTAAAACCCCAGGACCCCGGCTGCCCTCCCTACAGCTTCTTGGGAGTCTCAGGGCAAACCCTTTCAAGCAGCGCCTCCCAGTGGCCAGTAGCTGAAATGACGGCAGTGGTGCCGCCTGGTGAATGAATTGGTTGGGACCCCGGAAGCTGTGGTTGGCCCTGATTTCTTTGGAGGCTCGGAAACATTTCCTGTCTTCTGTTCTTCACGCCCCATGCCCCTGCTGGCGTATTACTGTTCTGTGACTTCCCCATGACCTCTGCAGGACTCCTCCTCCTGTGTTTGGTCTCCAGGTGTCGCCTTTCTGCCGTGTTCCTAACGTTTTGATTCCTGTCTTGAAAAAAAGCACCGGCTGCACCGTAAGCCCAGGGATGTGGCAGCTGCAGCGGGCTTGGCTTTGTGAGGAACCGAGTGTGTCCATGTTGGGGGACATCATACTTGATACACACGTTTTTATTTGCGCAAAGAAAATGCTATTTTTGGAGCCAAAATTTTCATGTCTGATTTATGGTGATTTTCTTAAGAACTAGAACTGCTGGCAGAAAGGGGGCACCCCCACGCTTAGACAGCCGATGTCTTATTAGAGGGCAGTTTGTGGTTCCTGGTTTGGAATTTAACATTCTTCAAACATTCCAGTCCACTGAAAGTTTTATCCGCTTTCCCATATAAAAATTCTTCCCACGATAGTGACTTGATTCTCACAGTCACGTTGGAAGGCGTGTGTGAGGCCTACAGTGTGAGGTTCAGAATTGCCATTTCCAAGTGCTCTTCGTAGGGAAACAGCTTCTGGTCATGACGAGGTTCGGCCTCCCATCTGATCCCAGCCCGGCCTAGAAACAGAGCACATGTGTTTCAGGATGGCGGTGTTTGGGGACAGGACATTAGCTTATTGTGTGGGGCTGCTAGAACAGGCCTGGTGAGGTGGGGGGGTGTCCAAGTCAGGTTACTTGGTTCACAGGTTCACAGGCCCACCCAGGTACCTAGAATTGGCCTCCAGGATGGGACCAGAAATCTGGTTTTGCATAGAAGTGGCTAGCAGCAGGCACCGTGCCGCTCTCCACACTCTGCCCGTGTCTGCCCCAGTGCTTGGCACAGCGGGACAGAAGCAGAGATCTGAATCTACATCTACCTGGCTGTTCAGTCAATCCACTCTTCACAAAGCTTAGAAAGCGGCCGGGCACAGTGGCTCACGCCTGTAATCCCAACACTTTGGGAGGCCTAGGCAGGCGGATCACCTGAGGTCAGGAGTTCGAGACCAGCCTGGCCAACATGGTGAAACCCCATCTCTACAAAAATACAAAAATCAGCCAGGTACGATGGCAGGTGCCTGTAATCCCAGCTACTCAGGAGGCTGAGGCGGGAGAATCACTTGCACCCGGGAGGCGGAGGTTGCAGTGAGCCGAGATTGTGCCACTGCACTCCAGCCTGAGTGACAGAGCGAGCCTCCATCTCAAGAAAACAAAAAAATAAAAAAAACCCCAAAAAACAAAACCACACACACACAACGCTTAGAAGGGGCTGGTGTTCTGATAAGCACAGATGCCTGAAGAGCCAGTAGCCAGAGTGATTTTGGTTGTTTTTTGAGATACGATCTTGTTCTGTCACCCAGGCTGGAGTGCAGTGGCACGGTCATTGCTCACCACAGCCTCGACTCCTGGGCTCTAGCAATCCTCCCACCTCCCAAGCAGCTGGGATGACAGGTGCGTGCCACCATGCCAGTAGTTTTTTTATTTTGTAGAGATGGGGTCCTGAACACATGGCCACAAGTGATGCTCCTGCCTCAGCCTCTTTTATTTTTTTGAGGCAGAGTTTTACTCTGTTCCTCAGGCTGGAGTGCAGGGTGCAATCTCAGCTCACTGCAACCTCTGCCTCCCAGGTTCAAGTGATTTTCCTGCCTCAGCCTCCCGAGTAGCTGGGATTATAGGCGTGCACCACCACGCCTGGCTAATTTTTGTGATTTTATTTTTATTTATTTATTTATTTATTTATTTATTTATTTATTTATTTTTTGAGACGGAGTCTCGCTTTGCCACCCAGGCTGGAGTGCAGTGGCCGGATCTCAGCTCACTGCAAGCTCCGCCTCCCGGGTTCACGCCATTCTCCTGCCTCAGCCTCCCGAGTAGCTGGGACTACAGGCGCCCGCCACCTCGCCCAGCTAGTTTTTTGTATTTTTTTTAGTAGAGACAGGGTTTCACCGTGTTAGCCAGGATGGTCTCGATCTCCTGACCTCGTGATCCGCCTGTCTCGGCCTCCCAAAGTGCTGGGATTACAGGCTTGAGCCACCGTGCCCGGCCGATTTTTGTGATTTTAGTACAGATGGGGTTTCACTGTGTAGGGCAGGCTGGTCTTGAACTCTTGACCTCAGGTGATCCGCCCACCTCAGCCTCCCAAAGCCTCAGCCTCTTACAGTGTTGGGATTACAGGCGTGAGATGCTGTGACCCAGGATGATTTTCATTTACAGTTTTTTGTTACCAGTGGAAAATGCGTATTTATAAAAATGAAGTAGTACAGACATGAACGTGTAGAAGTCTCTATCATCCTTCTGTTAACGTGTATATCAGGGATGTCCAATCTTTTGGCCTCCCTGGGCCACACTGGAAGACGAAGAATTGCCTTGGGCCACACATAAAATACACTAACGCTAGCAATAGCTGATGAACTAAAAGAAAAATCACAAAAAAACCTCATACTGTTTTAAGAAAGTTTACAGATTTGTGTTGGGCTGCAGATTGGACAAGCCTGCCATATATATATTCTAGGTTTTCCTCTATAGGTCTACTAATGTGAAAATGATTATTGTGACAAATGTTTTTTTGACATGAAGTCTTGCTATGTTGCTCAAGGTGGCCACAAACTCCTGGGCTTAAGCCATCCTCCTGCCTCAGCCTCCTGAGTAGTTGGGAATATAGGTACTCACAACCATGTGTGGGTGATTATTATTATTTTTTAAACAAAAATGGGGCTGGGCGCAGTGGCTCATGCCTGTAATCCTAACACTTTGGGAGGCTGAGGTGGCAGATCACTTGAGGTCAAGAGTTCAAGACCAGCCTGGCCAACATGGCAAAACCTCGATTCTACAAAAAAATACAAAAATTAGCTGGGCGTGGTGGCACGCGCCTGTAGTCCCAGCTACTCAGGAGGCTGAGATGGGAGGATAGCTTGTACCTGGGAGGTGGGAGGTTCCAGTGGGCCGAGATCGCACCACTGCACTCCAGCCTGGGCAATACAAAGCCAGACTCTGTCTCCAAAAAAAAAAAAAAAAGGTGGGTGGGGGCTTATACTATATGTGCTGTTTGGCACTGCTGTTTTCACTTAAACCATACTGCAGGTATTTTTTCACGTAAGTATCTGAAGAAAGACTTCCTTTTTTTTTTTGCTTTTTTGAGACAGGGTGTTGCTCTGTTGCCCAGGCTGGAGTGCAGTGGTGAGATCACGGCTCACTGCAGCCTCCACCCCCCAGGCTCAAGCCACCCTTCCACCTCAGCCTCCCGAGTAGCTGGGACCACAGGCGTGTGCAACCATGCCCGGCTAGTTTTGGTATGTTTTGTGGGGATGGGGTCCCACTATGTTGCCCAGGTTGGTCTTGAACGCCTGGGCTCAGGGAGTCCTCCTGCCTTAGCCTCCTGAAGTGCTGGGAGGACAGGCCTGAGCCCCGTGTCTGGCCAGCCTGCTGTGCGAGGTCGTGCGGGACTCTCGTGGAACCCAGTGTGCCTTCGTGTGCTGGCTTGTTTGTTGACTGTAGTTAACAGGCTGCCCGTGTGGACAGGCGTTGGGTCGTCTGTCTCTGTGTGCAGGCAGAGGCTGCTGCGGGTGCATCTGCGCACGGTTGCCAGGAGGGGCTCTGCTCGGGGAGCTGGGGCAAAGGCTGGTGGCATTGGGGGACATGGGTGTAGTGTGGAGGCGCGGGAGCCAGGCGGCCGGGCTGCAGTCTGCGGGAGCTCGGGAGTCGCCTGGCCTCCGTGTGCCCTAGTGTCTTTGTTAGAGAGATGGGACAATGACAGCACACCCTCACAGGTGCTGGGGGCTGACAAATGTCAGTTCTGAGGACAGTGGCTGGCCCACTGTGGGGCCAGTTCCCCTTCTCTATAGTCACCCTGCTCGTCCTCCACTGACTGGGTGCTCAGGACAGTGGCGTGGTGGATCTGCCTGTACAGCCTGTGCTCCAGCGTCCTGCAGGCCACAGCTGTGTCCAGCCCTGACCCCGACTGCCTCTCCCACCACCTCCATTTTATAGATGAGGAAACCGAGGCCCAAGGGCTTAGGGAACTCTGCTCCGAAGCACATAGTAGGGCTGCTGGGCTCAGACCCTCCCTCCCTGTGCTGAGCTGCCCTCCTCCTGCCCCAAGCCCCTCCATGCCCTGAGCCCACCCTGCTCGCCAGCCTCTGCCCAAGTCCCCCACATGGCGTGGGGGTGTGGGGCATCCTAGCTTTTCCCCGGTGCCAAGTTCTTTCACTTCCACTGGAGTCTTGCAGGGACAGCTTGGGGACCCTGCAGGCCCAGGAGGGCGTGGGGGCTCACCTAATTCGGTGGTGAACAGCTGGCATGTCTCCGGGTTGCGGATGGTGAAGGCCACGTAGACCTCAGGAGCCCGCTGGTGCTCCCGGCAGGCAGCCAGTCTCCGCAGGACCCCGACCAGCGACACGATGGCTTCTGGACAATACAGCACATCTACAGTGAAACCTTCAGGTTACTGAAAGGGACCAGCGGAATGTTCCAGGTCATGCTGACCTCAGCCGCAGGGCGAGGCCAGAGAGGCAGCGGTCATATGAGACTATTAGATGCCATCTGACCATTTGTGCCATTAGATGGAAACGCAGTTACCCGGGTGAAAAAGGAGAACCCTTAGTAGAGAAAGCTGCAAAAGACCAAAGCAAAAGAAAAAGTCTCCAGACTCACTGGTGTTCCTTAAAAAACAGCTCTGGTTCTCAGCCTATCTAGAGGGCTCTGAATGACGCAAAGCCTGACCCTGGTGTGAACGTCGTGTTTCAGGCGTCTGCCGATTTGTGTGCTGGCTTGCAGGGGAGGGCCTGTGTCCCTGGCCACCGCCGGGCCTGTGGTTTTCAGGGCTGGGACCCGGGATCACAGGCCGAGCTCTGTTCGACCAGAGAGGGGACTGAGTGTGCCGGCGGGGACGAGGGGTTTTCGGTGGCCCAGCCAAACACCACCTTCTCTCACGGGCCCTGTCCTTGTCCCAGAAGTGGTTGTTTTCCTCCTGTGGTCTCTGAAGGACACGGGGCATGGCTCTGGGACACAGCCATGTGATGACGACTGTAACGGGAGTATGCCTGTCCCCAACAAGAGGGCTGTGGCTTCAAGGTCACCTTAAGAGGCACCCCTGTCCTTGGATGTCACCCTGGAGGCCCAGAGTAACTCTTCTGGAAGCCCCATCATGTCCATGCCCGACAGCGTCCCTTGTTCCCTTTTCCCAGAGCCAAGAGCTGGGTGGAGCTGCAAGGACACCGCCTGCGCAGGGTGCCCGGGGCTGG